ACACACACACACATAATAGGATAGTAGTTTAACTCTAGTAGCCTTTCCTTCAGTCGTTGCTTCAAGTTCTCTCGACAATGTATTTCTTGTGTTAGTAGTCGAGTAATTGTTGCAGCAGTCCTCTGTTTTGCTTGAAATATTCGTGCATTCCTCTCTTGCCATATATAGTATATGCTACCAGCTAGTGTCATCCTGTAGACTTTAGCTTTGGAGCTCCTCCCTTTGTAATGTCGTTCAGCCCACTCCAACTCATGATCCCAAGCATCACCTGCCTATAAATCCCCTGCCAGTCCAGCATTGCTATCCCTACTTGTGTAGAGAATGAACAGTTAAAGAATAGGTGCCGATAGTTTCTTCCTCTGTGTTGCATAGGGAGTAGGTTGTATCTTCCAAGCAGCCCCATCTCCTTAATTTGTCTCTTGTTAATAATCTTCTGTGTGCAGCTAGGAATAGAGTGAATATCCACTTAGGTAGCCCAACATTGTTGCATACCATCCTTCTCCATGGTACCTTGCTAAAATCTCCTCTAAGTTTCAAGTACATGACCTTGATTGAGAATTTTTCCATTCTCAATACCTCTTCTTCTGAGTAGCCAGCTTCCTCAAAGTATTTCTTTGCTTTAAGTATCTTCTGGATCACCCACGATGCTTGCTTTGGCTTAGCACCCCACATTGAGGTGTGCTTCTTATAGTATATCTGGACCCATTGTACCCATATTTTGTCTTTCTTCTTGCATAGATTCCATAGCAGTTTGCAGATAGCTGCTTTATTCTATATGCCTACATCTAGTAAGTTTAAACCACCTGCTGCTCTTGGCCAGTACAATCTATCCCAAGTCAGAAGTGCTTTCTTGGTGACCTCCACCCCTCCTGTTCATAGAAATCTTCTACACATACTCTCAATTAATTGGATCAGTTTCTTTAGCAGCAGGAACACTTGTGACCAAAATACTTGTACGGAGAACAACACACTCTTAATAAGCTGAATTCTTCCTGCATAGGACAAAAATCTAGTAGTCCAAGATTGTATTCTCCCTAGCATCTTCACAATCAGAGGTTGACATTATATCAGTGGTAGCTTTTTACTACTCAGAGGCACCCCCAGGTATCTCACTAGTAGAGACCCTTTAGAGAAGCCTAACATTTGAAGTATTTCTTATTGTATATCATCCCTGACTCCCCCAAAGAAGATGGATCTTTTTTCAGCATTAGCAACTAATCTAGAAGCTTGAAAGAACCCTTGAAAACATTGATATAATAGCTGTACAGATATAGTATCACCTCTATAGAAGAGCAAAAGATCATCAGCAAAACTAAGTTGTACTATGTTCATTTTAGCACACTTTGGGTGATAGTTGAAATTTGGATTCCTCTTTAATGTTTTCAGTAATCTGGTCAAGTATTCCATGGCCAATACAAATAGATAAGGAGAAAAAGGATCACCCTGTCTCAATCCTTTTTTAGCAAGATACACTTCTCACACATCTCATAATCCATTGGACAAATCTTCTAGGTATTTGCAAACTCGTTAGAACTTGCTCCATATAATCCCACTCAATAGAGTCGTAGGCCTTTTTCATATCTACTTTCAACATGCATCTTGGGGTAGACCTTTTCTGCCATATCCTTTAACAAGTTCATGGCTCATTATTATGTTGTCATTTATCAGTCTGCCAGGCACAAAAGTATAAAGATTTCTATCTACTAAATCATCCATTATACTATGCAGTATGTTTGTTATCACCTTAGAGATGATTTTGTATAGGATAATGCAACATGATATTGATCTGTACTCATTGATTCTAGATGGATTAGTCACCTTTGGCACAAGGGTAACTGTTGTGCAATTGATAGGCTGATATAGGTTAGCACTTGAGAAGAACTCCATCACTGCATCTGTAACCTTATCACCAACCACAGGCCAGACCTTTTTAAAAAATAGTGCATTGAATCCCATCACAACTAGGTGCTTTGTTATCACTGGTACCTAGAAGTGCCCGGTTTATTTCCTCTCTAATTACATATGTCACCAGTTGTAATTGTTGTTGTCTATTTACCAATGGACCATCCCTCATTACTACTGGATTAATAGCAGAAAAATTTTCGGCTGATGATCCCAGTAGATGCTTTTAGAAACCAAGCACTTCATCTTCAATCTTTTGTTTTGTATGCACCAATTCCTCATTGCTCCTTATTAAGCTTTTGATTTTTTTCTGAGAGTACCTGTTTTTCATACTTGTAAAAAAATAAGCTGTGTTAGCATCTCTTAGCTTCAGCCATTGTACTCTAGATTTTTGTTTCATGATACTTTCTTCCACCCCAAGTCATTTCTCCAATTGTGCCTTTGTGTCCTTTTTGCTATAACCATATTCTCAGACATCCCAGTGTCCATCATTTGCTCCTGTAATTCACAAAGTTGCTTCCTACATTGTTTAATCCTGTCTCATACTGCATTATACTCTGCATTATTAAGATCTTCATAGCTTGCTTTACTTTTTTCAGTCTCTTCCACACATCCTGCATA